GGAATGGATGGTGGGCTTCAGGCACCAGCAGGGGAGGGGCCTGAGCAGGGCTAGGCCAGCTCAGATGGCAGTTGCCCCTGTGGAAGCCAGGATAATCCTGTCACTAACTTGCAGACCCCAATTCCCTTACTTCATTTTGCCTCTTCACACTTGCTTGGCAAAACCCCAACCCTGGTTAAATCCAGTGCCTGGCTTACCCCGGTCCTGCACATGCAGCTGAATGGGGCTGAGGAAAACCACTGTCCTGACTGTTCTTACTTTCAGTCCAAGCCCATGAACTCTGAACTTCAGGTGGGTCCTTAGTGCAGTCCACCAGGCACAGCACAGGTTCTGAGGTTGTTGCCTCTCCCCCATGCTAGATGACTCTTTCACACTTGCTCTTTGTGTGTGTGTGTGTGTGTGTGTGTGTGTAGAGATGGGGTCTCACTATGTTGCCAGAGCTGGTCTTGAATTCCTGACCTCAAGTGATCCACCCTCCTCGGCTGCCCTCCTTGGCTTCCCAAAGTGCTGGGATTATGGGCATCAGCCACTGCACCCGGTCATCACTTGCTCTTCTACCCTCACCCGCCCGCCTCTCCCATCCTTCCTTGCAGCGGATAATCTTTGAGAAAATATAAGCAGTCAGAGTGTCCTGAGGCTCCCAGTGCCATACTCACTGTCTGCCAGCATCTGCACTCACTGCTCTGCTTTCTTCTGTCTCTGTGGGTGAAGCGTTCCTGCTCCTGGTTAAGGCCATCCCTCCACTTGTGCAGAGATCCTGGCCCCTTGTGTCTGCTTGAGAACATTACTCCAGCAGGGCCCCCGCCTGCATCATTGGGTCCTCCTCTTTGCTAGAGCATCCCATCAGCAGATAGCTTGCTGTTATTTCTTTTATCTTAAAAATGGTTCTGGCTTGGCATGGTGGCTCACACCTGGAATCCCATCACTTTGGGAGGCTGAGGTAGGTGGATCACCTGAAGTCAGGAGTTCAAGACCAGCCTGGCCAACATGATGAAATTCTGTCTCTACTAAAAATACAAAAATTAGCCAGGCATGGTTGTGGGCACCTGTAATCCCAGCTACTTGGGAGGCCGAGGCAGGAGAATTGCTTGAACCCAGGGGGCAGAGGTTGCAGTGAGCTGAGATTGCGCCACTGCACTCCAGCCTGGACGACAGAGAGAGACTCCATCTCAAAAAAAAAAAAAAAAAGGTCTCTTGTGTTCTCCAGCCAGCTACTGCTGCATCTCTCTCCTCCCCTTTGCAGAGAAACTTCCAGAAGGGTTGTCTAGACTCATTGTCTCCACATCCTCTCCTCCCCTGTCTCTTGACTCCACTCTTATTGGACTCCACTCCGCTGAACTCTTCTCTCAAGGTTATCAGTAACGTTCCTGTCACTGCACCCAGTGGTCAATTCTCAGTCTTATTGGCAGCATCTGACATGTCCAGTCTTCCTCTTCCTTGAAATATCTTCCTTGGATTCCAGGACACCCATTCTTCTGTTTTCCTCCTACCTTGTGGATTGTTCCTTCTCAGCCTCCTTTGCTGGTTCCTCTTCTCCCCCTCCCACCTCTTGATATCAGGGTGCCCGAGCACTTGCCCTGCACAGGCTCTTTCCCCTATCTCCACTCCTCCATATAGATCCCATCCAGTCTTGTGGCTTTAAGTACCACCTATGTGCTGCCAGCCTCCAAATTTAAATCCCAAGTCTCAACCTCTCCCCCGAGCTCCAGTAGCCTATACAGCATCTCAACTTTCCTGCCTGCCAGGCACCCCCCGTCAACTTGCCCTTATCTTCCTCCCCAAACCTGCTCCACCTAGTTTCCCTTCTTGAGTGGTAACTCCATCCTTCTAGTTGTTCAGGGCACAAATATTGGCGTCACTCTTGGGTCCCCTGTCTCTCTACTGCCCCATGTACAGCCCATGGATGGGTGAAGCTTTAGAGTGCCTGACTTCCCTTCAGTGGGCCATGGGCAAGAGAGAGGAGGTGACAGTGAAATGGCCCAGCACAGCCCCTTTCACACCCGCTTACTTCATACCATATGCTGTTGTATTTTCATCAAGGAGGCCACAACCTGCAGACCCTGAGCTGAAGTCCTAAAGAGGAGACAAGACTGGACAGGAAGAGGAGGGAGAGGAAGGGAGGACTCGGCTAGGGAGAGATGAAGAGAAGCTATATAACACAGAGATTGGGGAGGGGGTGGGGAGGAAGGTCACAGTAGGGGAGGCAGAGAAGGAGAGGAGTTGGGGAGCATGGACAGAGAATGTGAGGACCTAGAGGGTGTAGGATATGTGAAAACCGGGCAGAGAGAAAGGAGGAGGAAGCTTCTTGGTTTCTGTCTCTTGGCTGTTGAAGCAGACTGTGGGGAGCTGCTCAGAGGTGGAGCTCTCTCAGGTCTGCCTTTGCCCAGGTGTTGTATCCAAGGCCAGGCTGGTTGAGAGGATTTGCACTTGGTCAGTCCATTGTAGCTCTCAGGATTCAACTCTCAACCCACAGGCTCATGTTAGCCTGTGGGCTCCATGAGCCTGTGGATTGAAGCAGTGTGAGTCCAGTGCCCTCTGAAGTTGGAGGAAGGTGGCCCAGTGGTCATTCTGGCTGTGGACTCTCTTGACCAAGACAGCTTAGTCCTTTGTGGTTCCTGATAACTGAGGGTTCACCCGTAGGGAAGTCAGTTGGGCATAGAGTCACCAGCTGTAAACATGATTTGAAATTTGACAGCAGACATTGTGGATTTCATTAGTGTTAAGGGCTCTTCAACCAGCATGCAGATGTATGCAAATGCTAAGCAAATGAAGGTACCAGTTGGCTGGGGGGTTGGGGAGAGAAGCAAGCTGGGAGATGTCCAGCAATGACCTTTGTGGAGTGAGCCCCAAGGGCCTCTGAGAATCCCAGCAGAGCACATGCACTTTAAGATGCCATTGTGCATGCAGCCCGGGGACTTCTGCTTGCCTGGCCATGAGAACATGAACCCAAGGCAAGGGCTGGTTCCCTGGTGGTCACACTGAGAGAAGGAAAGCAGGTGGGGGTTGGTCATCACTCCAAACTAGCATTACCTGAAAGGTGATGGGCATCTTTAAGGGGGGCATAGGTTCCTGGCCCTTGCCCTACATTTGTGTGTCCTGAGATGGAAAGATAGGAGTGAGCCTGGCCGTGGGTGAAGGTGTTAGGAGGGTAGAACAGTAGGGACCTCAGCTGCCTTGAGAAAGGGAGAGGGTGCCCTCTCTGGTCCCCCTCCTGGCCCCACGGGAGTCTTTCATTTGCCTCTACCCTCAGGCTGGGCTTCTGAAGCCCTTGCCTCAGAACTTGCTCTGACAGCTGCCAAGGATGAATATCCACTGGGTCCCGGCTGAATGGCCTGTGCTGTGTGCTGCTGTAAGGTAGTCAGCTTGGTTCCTTGCAGCCCCTAGAAGGTTTTGGGAGGCAGCAGGCCTCCCTTGAGCACTGAACACATGCCATCTCCTTTAGTCTTCACAGGTGCCTTGAGAGGACAAATGCTGTCGGCATCCCCCATTTATGGAGGAGGACACCGAGCTCAGAGAGGTGGGCAGTTTTCCTGAAGTCACACAGCTCGTGGGTAGCGGAGCTTGGATTTGGAGCCAGGTCTTTCTGAGCACACAGGTAGGGGCACTGACCTGCTCTCTCCTGGACTGTCCCAGTCTGAGGCCCTTGCAGCACAAGGCAGTCCAAGCTGGGAAGACCAAGTGGGTTAAGAGGGTTTGGGGTCATTTTGGGATGTGGAATCTGGGAAGTTCCTGAGGCTCCTGGGTGAGCATCCCTTCCAAATTATCCTGGGCATCTCCCTGGGCAGTTGGGATGTGGAGGAGGCCGGCCTGGGCTTAGGGTGGGGGCCTGGAGCTCTTGGAGGTGGGAAGATCCTTAACTCCAGGCCTCTTGGTTGGCAGAGGCTACAAGAGAGCATGGTGAGGGGGGCCCAGCTGAGGGCTCTTCCTGGCAGCACCCTACTGCCCATGTTGCCAGTGGCCTAGCAGGTCCTGTGGAGCCCTGGAGCAGTCTAGGCCTGGCCATCCTAGGCCCCACGGCGGAGTAGGGGCATAGCTGTTCAGGGTCTGTTATGAACACTCCCTACATGCCACCTGTTTGCACTGATCATCTCTTTTAAGTGTCTGTGTGTGTCATGTATGTTCATGTGTGTTCACATGTGTTTGTGTGTCTGAAGATGCTAGCTCATGTGCTAAAATCTGGGTGGTCTAGGGAATTTTGGGTAGGGATTTTGGGGAAGAGTAGTGAGCAATGGGGGTGTTCAGGGTGGGTTTCCAGGGGGCAGAGAATAGGTCCAAGAAAGATTTCTTTGCCAAATAGCCCTCATGGAACTCTCTCCAAGTATCCAATGTCAGATGGCAGGTCCTTGGAGATCGTCCAGTTTAGGGTATGGAATTAAGGATGGATAGGGGGCTTTGAGCCTTTCCAGATATACTCTAAATGTTGCACACATTTGTGAGATTTCTGGGGCAGGATCCTCCATCAAGTGTACAAAGAGGTCCAGGACTTGGAACTGGTTGGGGATCGATGGTGCACGTGGGGACATGAGGCCAGAGAGGGTTTTTTTGTGCCCAACTTCTCCTAGCCCACTGGAAGCAAAATGAGGGTCCTGGTGCTCCTAGATTTGCTTCCCTGGGTCAGCTGTGGTCTCAGCCTTGCCACCACACTGACATTCCAGAACAATTTTCTCTGATCCCAGTCCCTTCTGCATACTCAGGATGGTTTTGACCCTGGATGCCCGATGATGTAGATCTTACTGCCCTTAACCTTGCCCCTAGGCCTGCCAGTGCCTTGTCCACCTTTCCAGGCAAATCAGGGGGATTGCCTCATTAGCGGCTGCCCAGTTCCCTCTGTGTGTGTGTGCGTGTGTGTGTCTGTGTGCATGTGTGTCTTTGTGTGTGCATGTGTGCGCGCACATGTGTGCATGTGTGTCTGCGTGTGTGCATGTGTGTGTGCGTGCACGTGAGTGTGTGCATGTATGTGCGTATGTGTGCATGTGTGTGCACGCACGTGTGTGCATGTGTGTGCATGCGCGTGTGTGCAGGTGTGTGCACGCGCGTGTGTGCATGTGTGTGCACGTGCGTGTGTGTCTGGGCATGTGTGCATGTGCCAACCCCATGCCTGCATTGTATGTCTGCTTTCAGGTCCTGCACCCATGCACTTGCCACTGTGTCTTACAGAGCATGCTGGCCCCTGGAGCCCTCCCTGGTGGGCCCCCACCTCCAGCCCTGTCCTTGGGTTTCCCACAGTCCCTGGCTTGGATCCCACCATAAAAAGGGTCTGTAAGATTATTTCTTTGACAGTCTAGCATTCCATCAGAATCTCAGCCTTGCTGCTTTCCAGCTTTGTGACTCTGAGCAGTTCCTCAACCTCTCTTAGCCTCTGCCACAAATAGGCATGATGATAATCCTTGTTATTTATCTAACAAATATTTTTAAAGTGCCTACTCTGTGCATTGGACTCTGAGGAGACAGCTGTGAACATGACATAGTCCCCACCCTCACTGAACTTACATCCTGGTACAGAGATGGGCAGGGAATCAGTAAGCACATAGAAAAGGGAGCTTCAGTTCTACTGAGTGCTATGATGCTCCACGGAGGAGTGTGATGGAATGCCAGGGGTCAGAGAGGGCCTCTCTCAGGAGGCAGTGTTGGAGTTGAGACCTGAGTGGCAGAAGAGGCTCTTGTAAAGATCTAGGGAAAGAGCATTCTAGGCCAAGGGTATAGCTGGTGCAAAGGCCCTGAGGTGGGAGTGAACTCAGGGAGCGGAAAGAAGGCCATTGTGGCTGATGTGGGAGAGCATGGGGGCATGGGATAGAGGGCAGCAGAACCAGCTCCTGCAGGACCTTTTCAGGCCATGCTGGGGAGACTGGATTCTAATCTAAGAGGGATGGTTAGAGGACTATGAGGAGGGAGGGAGGGAGGTGTGTGTTTTTGCAACTCCCTCCAGCTGCCACAGGGAGAGTGGGGAGGGGGACAGAGTTGTTCAGGAGAGCTGAGACCCAGGAAGTGCACTCAACCCTGGCAGTTGGCTGAGCCAGGGTTCCAGTATCATTACAGGACCCACCTCAGCTGGTGCTAAAAAGAGGCTGCCGAGCCCAAGGTCATTCCAAGGGCTGAGGCTAGTGGGAGCCCCTGCCTGGAGAGGGACTTGGATCAGGCCAAGAGAGGCTACAGGGGATCTTGGCCAATGTCAGCCTGTCATTTGCAGGCGTCTCCTTGGGATGTTTGCCCAGTGGCCCAGCTGCGCCCGCTCCCCTGCTCTTGCCAGCAGGACTGGAGGTGGGAAGGGCCACTGCTTTGGGCCAACTCTCTTGGTTGAGGGTTTGGGCCCTTGATCTCCTGGGAGGGTTTGGCGGGGGTCCTGGGAAACTGGGGGCTCATTCTGCGTCTTCAGCCCATTTAGCTGCAGAGGGAGGCTACTCCTGGGTTCTAGAGACAGCTACGCTGTGGGACCTCAGGCAAAGCCTTTCTGGGTTCTGTGCCTCAGCCTTCCTCGTTTGTCAAATACGGTGGTAGAAAGAGTGGAGCACAGCTGCCTTTCATCCTTAACCTTGTAGTGAGTTTGCCCTTCCTTGGACCTTAGCTCTCTCAGCGTTCATGACATTAAGTTTCCCACTGGCCCTGGGGGAGAACAGAGGTGATACTCCCACTCTGTAGATTGGCTCACAAAGGCAAGAGGGAGCAATGTTGAATCCCAGGACACACAGTGGTTCAAAGTGAGCACATGGGTCATAGTCTTACACCTCTGCTCTAAAACCTCCCCTCTATGCTGCCCTCCCTTGGACTCAGCAAGAGAGGGGGTTCTGGCTCAGCTACTTCTGGGCTCAGCTGGTCTGCAGTCCAGGCAGGGACTCTGGGCCCCCCGCCCAGAGTAGAACTCAATGCTGCCCCTTGTCTGCCCACCTCCAGAAACAAAGGACATGGCCCAGTGCCTGGTGTTGGCAGGACCTCCATCCTGCTCCCTGCTAAAGGAGGACATAGCAGGGCAGGTAGGGCTGGAGCTAGCCTGAGGCAGCTGCTGGAAGTTGGGGGTGGGGTGGAGGGGGTCTCCCAAGAGGTCCTCAATCTGTCCACAATTCTAGCTTTGGTGCTGGTGTAGGCTAAGCATCAAGTGAAGCTGCTGATACTCTTAAACCTCAGGTTTCATGGAGGCTTAGGCAGAGCCCTGACTCAAGGTGGTGGGCTCAGCCTCTAGGTATGTGTGGGGGAGCTTGAGTCATCCTGGTGAAGTCGGGTTGAAACCCTGTGCCCCAGAGCCAATGCTCATCCAGGCCCCTGGGCTAGAAAGCAGGTCAGAGGACTGGAACTCAGGCAGCAGGCCAAAAGCCTCCACTTCTTTTTCCTTTCTAAATGTCCCGCCTCCCCCCACCCTCAGTTGAGTCTCAGTTGAGAAGGTGACTTCTTGTTTTTCCTCCTCTGAGTATACAACCGGAGGGAACAGATTGAAATAGCAACTACAGCAGCAGGGATTTGGGGCAGACCAGAAAGAATTCCTTACTCAGTGCTCAACCTCTAGAGGTCCCCGATGTCCTAGGATCAGGGCCCAGATATTTTAGAGCCTGGCTCTTCAGATGTTTAAAAGTCTGTGGGTTTTTGTTTTTTGTTTTTTTTTTCTTTTTTTTTTTAAAAGTAAAAATCTCCCTTATGCAGTCATCAAAATTCTAGGAGGTGAGGGTCAGTGTAAATGGGCAGGGGTCCTAGGTCTGTCTGTTCTGCCCTCCTCTTTTCCACTCTATATTTGAGAACCCAGGTTAAATAATCTTAACTGGACTGTGGTGGCTGAGCTTCCCACAGGGGCCCAGAATTCCTGAGAAGTGGACCCACCTCCCTCCCCAGGCTCTTGTTCTTTAAGTGGGACTTTTCTTTTGGAGCCTACCTCAGTGTTCCCACACTTGCCTTGTTATAAGAATCACAGGGGACCATACCCCTTCCCTGTAGCTTCTGGTTCTGGAGGTCTGGGGTAGGGCCTGGTAATCTGCATTGTACCAAGTCCCTCAGGTGGTGTTTATGACCAGGCAAGTATAGGAAGTTTGAGCTCACTTATATCCCTGTTGTTGCCCCTGCAGCTCATTTTGCTGCAGCCCAGAAGGCCGGCCAGTCCCTCTCCTGCAGCCTCTCCTGAACCCCTAGCATCCCTCTCCAGAGCAGAGTGGTAGCCAAGGCCCAACAAGGGGAGGAAGGAAGTGGCCCAACCAGAACTGGGAGAAATGGCCCAGATTCCTGCTTCTCTCCAGGGCATTTGGAGGGGCTGATCTGTGTCCCCACTGGCAGAGGACACTTGGGGAGGGGTTTAGCCTAGCCTAAGTGGGCCCAGGGGCAGAGAGGGGAAGAGGAGAGAGCCAGAACACAGCCTGTTACACATTACATCTGCCCTCTCCATCTGGGATTAGGTTGGGCAGGAAGCCTCTGGGAAATGTGGGCTGGTCTCAACCCGTTTGAAACAGTGGAGGTGAAGATGACGGGTAAATAGGTCTCCTCATTTTACAGACGAGAAACAGACCCAGAGGGGAGTGGGGCTGGCCTGCGCAGGCCAGTGAGGAGGCCTGACCTGGACTCACACGAGGGCATGCAGGGAGTTGGGCAGAGCAGGGCCTGACTCTCCTTCTAGTGCTCTCCCCAGAGTGCCCCTTGGAGGCCTCCTCATGAGTCCTCCTTGCAGGTGGGCGAGCTCTGATGGGGGCCCGGGAGTGGAGGGGAACCCCAGGCCTCCCCCTTCCTCCCAGACAACTGGGGCTCTGGGCTGTGTGTGTGGTGGAGGCAGCCTGGGCTCTGAGAGGCTCCCGGGTGGCGCCACCCGCCCAGCACCCTGGACAGCGCCCCACGCTGGGCTATCCCTGGCTGTCTCCAGGCTTCACTTTGGCTTCTGGGGTGGGCCCTGCTCCAATTAGGCTGCGTCTGTTGACTTCCTTGTCTCCTCTCTGAACTCCTCCTTGAAGACAGCCTCCCAGCCCAGTTCCCTCCATTAACCACAAAGGTAAGGTTCTCTCATCTCTGGCTCCTGGAGCCAGGGCAAGAACGTGGGAAGAAGCTAGGGGACCGGCTGCTGTCAGTCTGTGGTTTGTCACCATCACTCACCAACAGGAATGGGAGGGGGCTCTGCTGGACCCTTCTCCACTTCCTCCCCACTTGGATCTTCCTCAGAGGGCTTTGGTGAACTCTGGTGGGCACAGCAGAGACACAAGAGGTAATAGGAAGGGCCGGGACTGGGGCACAGTGGGCTGGCCAGGGTCAAGGGTGAGGTGAGGTGGCTTCTTGGACAAGGCAGTGAGGGCACCATGGCCCAAACCCACACTCCAGCCAGAAGGGCCCCGAGGAGATCGTCTCGGCCATCTCCCACTTTCGGGCAGGCTGCTCTGCCACTGGTCCTGCTGGACTTCAGGCGCCCCCCAGCCCCAGCCCTGTCTGACTGGTTCTTCCTCTCTCCACCCACTGCCAGGTCTAGAGGAGTCCCAGGAGCAGCCAGGACAGGCAGAAGTGGTGGCTGCCATGGAGGAGGATAAACTCTTATCTGCAGTGCCTGAGGAAGGCGATGCCACCCATGACCCCAGCCTGGAGCCTGAGGAGGAGCCGGGGGTCCGGAATGGAATGGCCAGTGAGGGCCTGAACAGCAGCCTCTGCAGCCCAGGGCACGAGCGAAGGGGCACCCCAGCGGACACTGAGGAACCCACGAAGGACCCAGACATGGCCTTCCGTGACCTCAGCCTTGGCCTCTCTCTCACCAATGGCCTAGCCCTGGGGCCAGACTTGAACATTCTGGAAGATTCAACAGGGTCCAGGCCCTGGAGGGCTGGCGTGCTGGCAGAGGGAGATGATGCTTCTAGGAGCCTCTGCCCAGATGCTGAGGACCCTCAGCTGGGGTGAGTGGATGCCTTGCTATGGGAGCTCACCACATTTGGCTGCTCTGTTTTTGTGTGGCCTGGGCCTAGCCACTTAGTTTCCCTGGTTCTTGTTTTTCTCATACATAAAATGGGGATTTCATATCCCTCTTTTGCCCAGATTCTGGGTGTTTTGAAAGGACAGAGCTGCTGTCAGTCTGTGGTTTGTCAGAACCACAGACTGACTTTGATGGAGAATTCAAAGGCCAGCAGATTGGGGGGCTGAAGGTTATGCCGTCGTGAGCTGCTTCTATGTGGGTTGCGGGGGATGGGGAGTGCTGCCCTCCCTCCATCCCAGGCTGGGCATTTGAATTCCAAGTCCATTTAAAATGCCCAATGTGAAAATTAATCTGGTTCATCCCTCTGCTTCCTGGAAGTGAGACTCTCCAAAATCCTTCAGCTGACTCCGGGAAAGCAGGCTTTGGGCTTTAATCCCTCTCAGCTACTCTCCCCTGCAGTAATTGTCAGGAAGTTCTACCAGGGATCTCACTTCAGTCCTGCTTGTTGGAGTTACAGCCCAATTTCTATTGTCCTCAGCAGATGGTGGAGACACCTGGAGTTTTGGGGGTATGTTGGACACGAAGAGCAGGGAAGGGACAGAGAAATGTCTAGAAGGCACCAGGGTGGGCTGAGAAAATAAGGCATCTAGAAGTCTTAGTGTGCATAGCTGCAGGCTCTTGCCTGAACGGGCAGTGTATGGGTAGTGTGTGAGTGTGCGTGGGGGCATGAGTGTGTGCTTGCCCTGCATGTGGTGTGTGCACAGGGATGTGTGAACATGTTGGTATGCATGCGGATGGTGGCTGTGGGCGGGGAGTGTTGGTGCCCCTGGCCTGGACATTTGTGGCTGCACATTTGGGCGCATGTACGTGTTATGTAGGGATAAGTGTCTCTAGGTCTTCGTGGGCAGGAGTGTGAGTATGTGGGGTTGGGTGTCTGTGTCACTGGGTGTGCCATGGCCATAAGCGTGTTTCCATCCAGGCAGGGTCTAGGGCAGCCCCATAGCTGGCAGCAGGGCGGGGGCAGGGGACTGGGGCTTCTTAGAGCACACCGTATTGAGGTGGCATCTTTACTTGGGATGGCGAGGCTGGGGGCAGCTGGAGGCTTGGAGATTGGACTGATGGTCTTCAAGCTCCCATCAGGGCCACTCCTCAGGCTTGCTCAGTTGCATGAGGAGGTGGGAGATGGGGGGTCCATTGGTGGCTCTGACCCTGGGCTGAGAGCTCCCCGCAGGCAGGGCTCTGTCTTGTTTGGATGTCTCTAGTGCCCAGCACAGGCCTGGCAGAGGTGTCTTTACTGGGCTGACTTTGGGTATTTGCCCTGGTGGCCAGGGCAATGGACCTTCTTTCCCCTCCTTTCCTTCCAGAGGTCAGTAGAGGAAACTTTTACCCCAGCCCCTGCCAGGCATTCTGCACCTTTTAGATTTCTGTCCCCCTCCCCACTTTGTTCCTTGGCAGGAGAGAGCCTAATGAGGCTGCAGTCTCAGCTCCTGTTGGGGCTGGAGTGGGAGTGCCTTCTCCAGGAAGCATACTGGGACAGAATCTTAGGCACTGGGGGGCCAAGGAGATGTTTGAGGGGCAGGGGCACTTCCCAGTCCTCCAAATACAGCTCAGTCTCTGCTACACAGCAGGGGCTGGGGGAAAGTAGGGCATGACCAGAGCCTCAGGGGAGGCTGATGCAGAGGGAGGGGTGTGCTTCTTTGCCCATCATGGGCCTCAGTTGATCTGAAATGGGCCGGGCTCAGCCTGCTGTGTTTTTTCCTTGTGTCTCTTCCTGTTGCCGGCTGTATCTTCCATCTCTATCCTTGTCTGTCTAGCTCTTTCTTTATCTCTCTCACATTCTGTCTCTGTTGTCCTCTCGTATCCCTTTCCTCTGTCTCTTTCTTGTCCCCCTCTCATGGTCTTACTCTCTTAGTCTCTCTCTCTTTCCTTCCCTGTGTACCTGCTCATGTCTCTGGTAGATAAGAATCTTCCCAGCCTCCTCAGTTCATGTATGTGCGATGCTGCTTTCCAGGTGCTGGAGATGAACAAAACAAAAAGCTCTCATGGAGCTTGTAGTCTAGTGGGGAGACCGACGATAAATATTAAAACAATGAATACTTATATAGTATGTTGAAAGGAGATAAGTGCTTTGGGGAAGAAAAAGTAGGAAAAAAGGGGCTGGGGTGTTTGGAGGCAGGTTATGGTTTAGATTGGGAGGTCTGGGCAGTCCTCACTGAGAAAGGGATGTGGAAGGAGGGTTTTAGCTGGGGAACAACACTTTGGGCAGAGGGAACAGCCAGTGCAAAGGCCTCTTTTGGGGGACAGCACAGGGTCCTGCAAGGGCTTGGGAAGCGTGGGTGGGGCCATGGGGCTGAAAAGCACATGTTCATTCACCTAGTACATCGTTCAGCTAGATGTTCCGAGCACCTACTATGTGTGGGGATGCTCCCTGGCTTTGCAAAGCTTTTGTTCTGGAGCTGGGGAACATACAGTAAACAGGAGAAAAGACAGAATCTTACATGCCGGGAAGGTCTGAGGAGTAAATAAACAGATCCGGAGCAGGAGGCCAGTGTGCTGTGGGCCTGCCTCCCCTGCTCTCTCTCAGGAGGTGGCAATGAGGCCAGACCTGACAGCTGGATGTGTTTGGTTGACCTAAGAACCTCCCAGGTTGTGGGAAGAGCAAAATTATGACCCGGTGTGACACTGGTTGTGATAGGAAAATGTTCACATTGCTTTGGGAGCCTGGAGGAAGCAGCCCTCTATGCTGGGCTGGGGGATGAGGCCTTACATTCATTCATTTAGACACATATCTGATGCCCACTATGGCCCCAGCCCCAGGTCTGCACTTTTCCCTGCAGTATTCCCAGTACCCAGCCCGGTGTCTGGCACCTGTGCTCAGTCAGTATTGGCTGAAGGGATAAGTGAATAGGATGGGGGGTGGTGTGCCCCTAGGGGGCTCCCAGGCACAGATGAGTACAGTTACCAGCACCTGTACTGGGGATACCTTGGCAGGATGGTGACTGGCTCCTTGCATCCCACAGGTTGGATGGTCCCGGGGAGCCAGATGTGCGGGATGGCTTCAGTGCCACGTTTGAGAAGATTCTGGAGTCAGAGCTGCTGCGGGGCACCCAGTACAGCAGCCTTGACTCCCTAGATGGGCTGAGCCTCACAGATGAGAGTGACAGCTGCGTCAGCTTCGAGGCCCCCCTCACACCCCTCATCCAGCAGCGGGCTCGTGACAGCCCTGAGCCAGGGGCTGGGCTGGGCATTGGGGACATGGGGTTTGAGGGGGACATGGGGGCAGCTGGTGGTGATGGGGAGCTGGGCAGCCCCCTGCGGCGCTCTATCTCCAGCAGTCGCTCTGAGAACGTCCTAAGCCGCCTGTCTCTCATGGCCATGCCCAATGGATTCCATGAAGATGGCCCCCAGGGCCCAGGGGGGGATGAGGATGATGATGAGGAGGACACAGACAAGTTGCTGAACTCAACCAGGTGAGGCAGGGCCCAGGCTGGGAGCTGGGAGAACCATTGAGCAGATAGGGAGACTGAGACCCAGGGTGGGCAAAGCAGATTAGAGTGACTCAGTATCCAGAGTCAGCACGCCCTCTTCAAGGTCACCTGGTCCACCCTCTGCATCCAGACTTCCCACCCTGCATCCTGAGGTTTCATTCTGCTCTTCCAGGCCTTCTCGGCCCCGGTAGAAGTGGGGAGTCAGGGAACTATGCTGTGGTTCACTTGAGAGGCTCTTCTGAAAGTCTGATTTCATTCCCTCCTGCTGCGGTGGAGCTTCTTTCCCTATTCTGGCCCCTACATGGTTTGCAGTGGCCTGGGGAAACCTCCCAGCCTCCTCCAGGGCCTTTGACCCTGGACCTCTGACCCTACTCCTCCACCCACCTTCCATCTGCAGTGACCCCAGCCTGAAGGATGGCCTGTCAGACTCAGACTCTGAACTCAGCAGCTCGGAGAGGTTGGAGCCTGGTAGCGCAGACCCACTGGCCAACGGGTGCCAGGGGGTCAGTGAAGCTGCTCGTCGGCTGGCACGCCGCCTCTACCACCTTGAGGGCTTCCAGCGCTGCGATGTGGCCCGGCAGCTGGGCAAGAAGTGAGTGTGGTCTCCCCCGCCCCCAACCCCGGGCAAACCTCGTGTCTTCCTCAGCCTCAAGGGTTTGTGGGTGACCTTCTTTAGGGGTGCCTTGTGCTGGGGGGTGGCTCCCAACAGTTCCCCGAGGACACCTCCTCCCGCCACTGTCCTCATTCCTGGCCTCGCCCTAAATCTGTTTCCTTTCTGGGCTGCTTGGGCGAGGCTGATGCTCTTGGGGAGGGGTGGTGGCGGGTGGCCCCTCAGGGCTGGGGGTGAGGGATGTGGGATGTGGTTATGGGGCCACCATGAATATGAGGACAGGGAAGCTGGCAGCATCTGGGCCCAGTTAATGGGGCCAGGGAGAGAGGAGAACCTGGGCCTTGGGGGACACCTCTGGGACCCAGAGCTCAGGAAAGGGCTCCTGGCCTTCATTAAGCACTACTGTCTATTGGGACCAGCTGAAGGGGCTGAAGCCCCCAAAGCCCACACCCTGGCCTTCAGACCGGGTGCAAAGGGAACTGGCTAGATGAGAGCCCCAAGGGGGACCAGGGGACAGGCAGGATTGCAGGACAGAGGAAGTCTGCCGGCACATCCTGCGCACCTCTGACCACCGGTGTGTTCACCCGCCGCCTGCCTCTGGCCCTTTTATCTGGAGTGCTTCCCAGCATCCGCATTAAGGCTCTGAGCTGTGCAGGAGCAGGCCTAGCCCTGCAGCACTGCTCACAGGGCTGGGAGACAGTCCAGACCCTTGCCCATGAGTGGGAGGTGACATGCAGGCTTTAGGCCTCAGGACACCCTGAGGGCGGCTCAGGTCCTGGATCCTCCTCTCCCTCCTCTTCTCTCTCCCTCCACTTCTCTCTCCACCCTCCGCAGCCTCCACGCTGCTCCTGCACCGGGTCCCTGACAATCGCGCCAGCCCAGAAATCACAATTCAGATGCCCTCACCTCTTCTGCTGGACTGGACCCCCAAACCTAATGCCATCCTTTCAGGAGCCTTCTTGGTGGCCTGCCCCTGCCCTCTCCCATCTTTTCAACCACTCCCTCCAGCAGCTAATTGTGCTCAAGTCTCTCCCATCTGAAAAACAAAAATTGTTTCTCAGCCCCACTTCCTCCTCTAGCCAAAATTCTTGGGTTTTCTGCCCGGGGTGGCCTCTATCCCCTTTCTTTCTCCACACTCAGCCCCTCCACACTGGTTTCCTCCCCCCAACACTGACTTCAGAAACCTCTTGTGCCAACATCACTGGTGGCCTTGTGTTTTTGAATCTGGTGGCTGCTCCCCAAGCCTCACCTTAGCCCCTTCAGCAGCTTCCATGAGACTGGTCATTTCTTTCTTTTTCTTTAATTAAACTTTTTATTGTGAAAATTTCAACAAACACGAAAGCAGAGAAAAAAAATCAAACCTCTATATGCCCATTACTGGGTTTCAAAGTTACTATTTCTTCATTCTCATTTCACCTATGACCCACAGCTTTTTTCTCATGTGCTGGAAGATTGTAATGCATATTTCAGACACTCTATCATTTGATTTATAAATACTTTACTATGTATCTCCAACTGATAAGGATCTTTTTTTACATAATCATGATTCTATTATAATTTCTAACAAAATGAACAAAAAATTCTTAATCTCTCCAACATTCAGACTGTGTTTAATTTTCTCTGATTGTCTCAAAAATGTTGGTTTATTGAAATCAAGATTCAAACAGGGTCCACACATCGCACTTGGCTAATTGGTCTGTTAAGTCTCTTTGAATCAACAACAGTTCAGCAGTTCAGCAGTGCTCCTCCCTTCTTAAATGCTGTGTATTTGTTGAAGAAACCAAGCCACTTGTCCTAAAGAATGTTCCACAGTTCAGATGTGGTATCCTCATGCTGTTATTTAACATGTTTCTCTATTTCCCATGGGTCCTGCAAATGGGCAGTAAGCTCTAGGCTTAATTAGAATCAGGTGGAAATTTGTTCTAGTTTTTGACAAGAATTCCTCATGCCAGTCTTCTTGAAATACTGTCTTGGTTGGCCTGCAGGACAACACACCCCACCTCTGGCTGCTGTTTCTCAGCCTTCTTGCTGGCTCGCTCCTGGGTTCCCAACCCGATTTGGGGCTCTGGGCCAGCCAGCCTGTCTGTGCCCTCTCCTGTTGCATGGGCTCAGCCCCACCCTGAGCTATTACTGACCAGCTGTGGATTGATGACTCTCACACGGATGCCTGGTCCTGAAGTCTGACATCTCCCACAGGGGACCACCTTCTTGGTTCATGCCCCATGTCCATTCCATCTTCGTGTCTTGTGGGTTCTGCCCCCTAAATCTCTCTTCTCCCCATCCCTTCTATCTCTATCTGGACAACTACGGCAGTCCTCCTATCGGTCTCCACTTAGCAAGTAGCGCATTCCAAAATACAGACTGCCCATCCCTGCTTTAACCCTTCTGAATCAAGTCCTGGTCCTTCCCCTGGTCCTGGCCTCATCACTTGCTGCCCCATTCCTGTTCTTTAGGTTCTGGCCACATGGCCCTGCTAGTAGCTTCTTGGACATGCCATACAGTTTCCTCCCTGGGGACACTGCATCATCCCACCCCTACTCCCTTCGCCTGGTTAGCTTGTAATTCCTTGTGTTGACTGAGACATCACCTCCCCCAGGAAGACTTCCCGACACCCGCAGACCAAGGTTGAATGTTATGGCCCAACTGGCCAGTAGCCTAGGGGTTGAGCAGGTCTTGGGGGTGGGTGGGTCCGGGTACCCTGGGCCCCACTCCCCAAGTAATGCCTATGATTCTGTCATCCTTGCACTGGACCCTGCTTCTAACAGACATCCCATACTCTCCTGGCAGCAACGAGTTTAGCAGACTGGTGGCCGGGGAGTACCTCAGTTTCTTCGACTTCTCGGGCTTGACTCTGGACCGAGCACTCAGGTCAGTGGGGCTGGGACGGGCAGTGCCCACAAGTGGTTCAGGCTGCACATCTGGATGCTTATGCCAGCTCTACCATAAACTTGCTGTACAACCTTGGGCAAGTCTTTTGACTCCCTGGTGAGGCTGTGGGGAAGCGGCCACAGGAGCAGCAGCGGCCCAGTAGTTCAGCGAGTGCCCGCTTCGTAGTAGCTGTTAGGATGTGAGGGTGGAAATGTAGTTGTGACTCTAGGAGAGGAAGGGAGGCTCAGGACTTGCCTGTATTGAGCACTTCCTGCCTGCCAGATCCTCTAGGTCTTTACTCACCTTGCTTACTGCATCCTCCGTACCCTGGTAAGGTAGGCACTATCATTCATGTTTTTCACATGAAGAAACTATGGGCCAGAGGGGTAAAGAGACTTCCTCACAGTCATCGAGGGAGGAGATGGTAAAATGGGATTTGATCTCAACTCTATTGGTTTTGGACCTAGGGAGTAGACCTCAGGAGGGCCAATTGCAGGTTCCTAGGAGCCGGAGGGTAGAATGGATGGTTGCAGCCCTGTAGTATCTAGTAGGCTCTGGTGGCAGGGGCCAACTGGGCAGATACTGACCAGGCCCTAGGAGAGATGGAAGCATCTTGGAGCTAAGGGTTGGGGTGATTCATGCACGTTAGACCTTTTGACTGTGTTCCACGTGTCTCTTACACTTTAAAAAAATTTAATTTCTGGCTGGGCCTGGTGGCTCATACCTGTAATCCTAGCACTTTGGGAGGCCGAGGCCAGAAGATTACCTGAGGCCTGGAGTTCCAGACCAGCCTGGACAACATAGGGAGGCCAAGTCTCTACAAAAAGTAGAAAAATTAACCAGGCATGGTGGTGCAGGCCTGTTGTCCCGGCTCCTCAGAAGGTTTAGGTGGGAGGATCACCTGAGCCTGGGGAGGTTGAGGCTGTAGTGAGCCATGACTGTACTACTGCACTCCAACCTGGGTGACAGAGTGAGACCCTATCTCAAAGAAACAAACAAACAAACAAACAAAAAAACCTACATACAAAAAAAGTAATTTCCATTCTTTTTTCTTTGCTTCTGTTGGGATATTTTCGGCTGACCTGTTTTCACTTCACTTCACTTACCCTTTTTCTGTTTCTAATGTGTTATTAACCCATTTATGCCTGAGGTTGCAGTTTTCTGAATTACAAAATCAGACCTTGGCGATGACCTTAAGCAGTAGGATATAAATAACTCCCACACGCTTAGCGTTCTGATAATGGCACAATAGGCATAAATGGGTTTTGAACTCATTTACTGAGTTTTGAATTTATGTTATATTTTCCATTTCTAGAATTTCTATTTTATTAAAAAAATTAAAAAATAGATTCTAATTATCTGGGTGAATTATCCATCTTTTCCATTATTTTCTCCACCTTTCCCTCTCTTTTTTGAACATATTAGTTGTAAAACCCTTGCTGCTAACTCCAGTGTCTATCACCTGAATCATCTGGATATATTTCTATTATCTCATTTTTCTCTTTATTTTCCATCATATATCCTGTCTCTTTGATTGCTTAGTAACTTAAAAAAAATTGGATGCTGTATACTTTATATAGAATTGTAGTGGTTCTAGATTATTCTATATTCCTCCAGAGAGGGTTTACGTTGTCCTTTGCTAGGCAGTTAGAAGGCGTGTGGGGATGCAGTCCTAATCCTCGCACTGAAGTTTGCTATGGCTCAGGGTGTGCTCTGATCATAGGGTAGAGGTCCTCAGAGTTTTCTACTGGGAGCCTTGTGTGTTCAGTTGGGCTTTCTTGGCTCAGAAGCCTAATTTTGTCTTCTCAGTGCAGCAATACTTCCTCCTCTTCAACAAAAAAAAATCCCTCTACTTCTCAGAGGATTTCTGCTTAGCCTTTTTGCTTCCTGCCTTTTATATATATATTTTTTGAGACAGAGTCTTGCTCTGTTGCCCAGGCTGGAGTGCAGTGGCATGATCTCCACTCATTGCAAGCTCCGCCTCCTGGGTTCACGCCTTTCTCCTGCCTCAGCCTCCAGAGTAGATGGGACTACAGGTGCCCGCCACCACGCCCGGCTAATTTTTTGTATTTTTATTAGAGACGGGGTTTCACCATGTTAGCCAGGATGGTCTCGATCTCCTGACCTTGTGATCCGCCCGCCTTGGCCTCTCGAAGTGCTGGGATTACAGGCATGAGCCACCACGCCTGGCCTGTATCTTTTATATCTCTGAAATTCAGCAACTATCTCAAAGGGAAAAGTGGCCATGTGTTTATAGCCCCTGAAGTCTCCAGCCTCTTGAAGCCACCCAATGCCCTGCCTCTTGCCTGTGCCCATAATCAGCAATTCCCCCAGGGAAAAAGCAGCCACAGAAGCTCGAACTACCTTTCCGCAGTTCTCTCCTCTCCAGAATCTTGGCCCTTTTGGTTTTTGCTGCCTCAGCAATTTTTCCAATAGCTTAAGAAAATCCATGGTTTTTATTGTTTTCAGTGGAAGTGTTGGTGTTTAGCAGGCTACTGTATCCTGAGCTGAATTGTAAAGATTGCAGTAGAATGAGGAAGATTGGTTGGGGAAGTTGTTCGGTGGGGTCAGCTTATGATCAGAGGTGTAGGTGCTGGACTGAGTGCCTTGTATGCCAGCCCAATACTGAGGCTCAATTGTGCAGGCACTGCAAGCGCGTAGGCTTCTGAAGAGGGTCAGGTGGGAGAGAACAAGCATGAGGTTGGGCAGAGGGGAAAGGTCGGTGTGAGAGGTTGCATAAGAGGGTAGAGTAAAAGGGCTGGTGGTGCCAAGATGTGGGGGAGGGTGGGCAGTGGTGAGGCTGCCCATAGGGACAGCCCGAGAGTTTGGTGGTCATGGCACTGGGTTGGGGCTTGAGGCAGAGTGTCTAGGGAAGGGGAGTTTGGGCTGGGGAGTAGGAGCTGGGATGGATGGCTCATAGGTAAAACAGGCTAAGGTTGGAATGGGGGAGGTTTTGAGAAAGTCCTGGAGGAATGTGAGAAGAGGGAGGGGTCAGGCTGGGGGACAGATGGGAGAAGAGAACAGGAAGCAAGAGAGATAGGGAGAGGAGGACAGCGAGCTGTCAGACAGGGCAGTGCTATTATGCAGCAGTTGGTTGCTTGGGATTGGATTTTGAGAGTACTCTGCAGTTTTGGATGCCTTGAGGCGCCTCAGAGGGTAAGGGCTGGCTAAGACATGGCTTGCAGGTCCCAGGGTGCCTTAGGAGGTGGCATGAGAGAGGGTAAAACAAAGTGGGCATTGCAGTCATTCTGGGCCAAAATGAAATCAACTATAGCAAAGTTAAGAACAAACCATCTCCTGAACCCAAGACTGATGGAGACACCAATGGCTTCAGCCTGCAATCTCCCTTCCCAAGGGAATGACCTTTGAATTGGGCCTTGAGGGAGATTCAGAGCTGCCCAGCCGAGGAAGGAAGGGTGTCCTGGAGACCTGGCCTGCTCTGAGGCGCTGAAGAGTGAAATACCTGTTCTGTCTAGGGTGTGAAGATAGCAGGTGGGTGTGAGGTTGGAGGCACAGGAGAGTAGTCCAGGCAGCGAATGTGGCCATGACATGAGGAGCCTGGGTGCTATTCTGAGGGTGCCAAGGAGTCACAGGTTTTTTTTTTTTTTTTTTTTTTTTTTTTGAGATAGAATCTTACTGTGTTGCCCAGGCTGGAGTGCAATGGCGTGACCTTGGCTCACCGCAACCTCTGCCTCCTGGGTTCAAGTGATTCTCTTTCCTCAACCTCCTGAGTAGCTTGGATTACAGGCATGTGCCAGCATACCTGGCTAATTTTTGTATTTTTAGTAGAGACAGGGTTTCACCATGTTGGCCAGGCTGGTCTTGAACTCCTGACCTTGGGTGATCTGCCCACCTCAGCCTCCCAAAATGCTGGGATTATAGGTGCGAGCCACCGCACCTGGCCCAGTGATGGATTTTAAGCAGCAGTAAGTCCTGCCTGCGTGGGTATTTAGAAAGACAACTTGGTGTCTGCGGGGAGGAGGTAGTGGGTGCAGGGGTGGCCGCGTTGTCCTGGGCACATGATAAGGGTGGTGGCAGAGGAGGATGATTAAGGTGGAGGTTGAAGAACAAACCATCAGGACTTGGTGGCAACTCAGTCTTGGGGTGGGGGAGGAGTGGGGGGATCAGGGTTGGGCCTGGGCTCAGCTGGAGGCACATGAAAGAGAGAGTATGACTGAGGAGGAGCATTCTGAAGGGCAGGCATGGACAGGGCCTGGCTGTAGGGGAAGGAGCAAGGAGTGGGCATCCACCCTGAAGAAGAGCAGGTGCTGAGGTGCTCTTCTTTGTTCTTCACCATCTGTCCTCTGCCTACTTCCAGAAGGTCCCTGGAGGGTGATGAGGACTGAAACTCTAAAGTTTACCAGGCCCCTTGGTCTCAGCACTCCAAGGTGTCCGTCCTGGGGGCCAGGGCCTCCTGGGCTGGAGAGAGCGTCCAGACCCAGAGAATGGGGCACTGGAGCCCTGGCCTCCTAGGGTGGGTGTGTGGTGTGTGTAGGGGGGTGGTCTTACCCTGGGTGAGGACTCAGACTGCCCTCAGCAGCTTTGAATTGCCTTCCAGAACATTCTTGAAGGCCTTCCCACTGATGGGGGAGACACAAGAGCGTGAGCGAGTCCTCACACACTTCTCCCGCCGGTACTGCCAGTGCAACCCTGATGACAGCACTTCGGAAGGTATGGCCCCTGCCCACTCTGCCCAACCCTCCCCACCCACTCAGCCAGGCCCTGGCCCCCTCCCACCCTGGTCCACCTGGCACTTTGGTCCTGTTGCCAGGCCCAGATGGTTTGTCCTCTCCGGCATGCAGTAGGTGCTCAATGAATGCTAATTGAATAAGCTGTGGCACACGGTCTGCCTGCTGAGCAAAGCGCAGTCTTGCCTGTTCTCCTCCCCACTGCCTGGAAGTCCCTCCAGCCTCGGGATTCAGCTCTGTGGCTCTCCCTTCTCTGTGGTCCCTGTCATGGTGCTGACTGTTGGTGTGGTGGCTGTCCCGGTGTGGTGGGGGTCTAGGTTGGGGTCCTCTTAGGGACAGGACTTGCCCAATAGATGGGCCCACATCTCAGGAACTGGGGGACGAGGCTCATCATTGGGAGAGACACAGGTCAATGCAGGGGCAGGGCTGGGGGCTCAGAGCCATTCCTAGGTCTGAGGTTCAAGGTGAATTTGGCCACAGGAGGCAGGAGTCCGGGCCAGAGTGGGTCCAGGGTGGTCAGACTCCTGGGGCAGGCAAGTGACTTGGGCCCTGCAATGGGGACAGACCGGGAGCATCATGCAGGCCCTGGCCCCTGAGGTGAGTTTGGCAGGTGGCTGGCCTCACCCTGTGTCCAAGGCCTCCTGGTGGGTTCCTTCAGGAGACAGGGGGTGGGAAGAGGTTGGATCCTCGCACTGAGAGTGCCACCTCTCTGACTCAGATGGGATCCACACGCTCACCTGTGCCCTGATGCTGCTCAACACGGACCTGCACGGCCACGTGAGTTGGGGAGGTAGAGGTGGGGGTGTCACATGTTCTCTCAGGGACCCACCTTGTGTTGATCCTGGTCCCTTCCTGAGACCTCTCACTCAGTGGCCAGGCTTCTTTTTGAAGGCCCGGGGGTTGGGCAGCTTGGCTTCTAGATTTGGCCCCGCCCTAGTTTCATCCACCTGCGATCTGCCTGAGTCCCCACCCCCAAGTATGCCAGTGAGAGCAGCTGGGTCATGGGAGTTTAAGATGAGACAAAAATATGTGCCCCTTGTCCATGCTAAGAGATCATGTGCCCTTTCTGCCCCTGTCCCGCAAGTCTGAATGCAGCTGCATTGAAATACCATGCCCAGGGCAGCCCCTCCCAACCCCCCAGCCCTGACCAGGCCAAGCAGTGAACGCCCAGGCTGTGAGACTGTGTCTGGTCCAGGCCCCAGGCTGTCTCAGCGCTTCTCATGACTCAATAACTCCTTCTTCTTTCCTCTGTCTGCTCCGGAACCCCTCTCTGGGCTCTCTTGCCCTCGCAGGTGGTAAGTGTAGCTAGTGGTGTGCATGCCCTGTGTGCTCAGGCGCCCATCACCATGTCGCCCTTCTGTGTCCTCCATCACCATCTGGCTCCACCCAATCACTGCCCCATCATTTTTCACACAGGGTTGTCAGAGTCCCCTGCTAGGTAGGGAATGTCTCAGTGACTCATGGGGACAACAGATCAGTGAGTTAACCAGGAAATCTAGGGGATTTGGGGGTGAAAGAAAGAGCTGGGATAGACCCAACTTCAGATCCCACTCTTGCCTCCACGTGGTAGCTGTGTGACCCTGGGCAAGCACTGGCCCTCTCTGAGCCTCAGGTTTCACATCCAGGAGGTGGGAATAATGATCTCCCTGCAGTGTCATGGTCGGGACTGAGAGATGTAATATACATGGCACCAAGGGGCAGGGTCTGGCGCCTAGTAGGGATTTTATTATGTAGAATTTTGTTACATAAAAAGAACAATAGTATTCCTCATTACTGTGAAAACTGAACCAAGGGCAAGCTGGAAGACCCAGCCTGCAGGCCCCTGGAGGGGGAGATTGTGAAGGCCCAGTCTGCTGGCAGCCTGGGCTCATGGGTGCAGTGGGGCACCTGGCCTGGGAGGGCTAGAACCTCGGTGCCTGTGTCAGGAAGAGCAAATATGTGACAGCTTTGGCCAAGTCCACCTGGGCCTGCAACCTGAGTGTGGAACAAGAGAGAAGACGCATTCCACATGAATGTCACTGAGCGCCAAAGCCCATGAGCCTGCTGCTGTTCCCCCAGACTGTGCCCTTTGTTTATTGACAGAGAGCAGGTGTTGCTAGCCTGCTTTAAAAGGAGCACTCAACAGGCCCCTCACTCCCTGTCCCCACCCCTGGCTGGGCCTGTGGTCAATCTCAGGGCTGTCTCTACTGGGCCAAGCCCTGGTTGCCCCTCCCTATGGCTAAGAGCTGCTAAGGAGGGCGGCAGCCACTGTATAGTGAACCCTGGGCCAAGAGCACCCCGGAGCTTGGTGGGCCTTAGCTGGCGTGGTCCCACATTGATGCCACAGCTGAGGAGAAACATCAGGACTTCATAGATTAGAAGTGGACTGGGAAGACTGTTCATGTTTGCAGCAGACAGACACTGAGGCTTTCTTCTCTCTCTTTTTTTTTTTTTGAGACGGAGTCTCACTCTGTCACCCAGGCTGGAGTGCGGTGGTGCGATCTCAGCTCATTGCAAGCTCCGCCTCCTGGGTTCATGACATTCTCCTGCCTCAGCTTCCTGAGTAGCTGGGACTACAGGCACCTGCCACCACGCCTGGCTAAGTTTTTGTATTTTTAGTAGAGACGTCCCTCTCTTTGCATGGTCCTGCTCAGAGATTAGGAGCGTGGGCTCCGAGGCTGTGTTCTCTGTTGCTCCACACGAAGGCTGTGTGGTCTGAGGCAAGTTATTTACTTCACTGCACATCAGTTTCCCCATGATAAAGTGCCAATGTGTAAAGAATATGAAGCAAAGCTCGTGTGCAAGGCCTGGAGGTTGCAGTTACTGGGAGCTCTTCAGGGCACCTGACGCTTTGCGCTTTTCCCCTTGCCTCCTCCCCTCCCCCTGTCACTCATCAAGCAGGGACTGAGGCCTGGTGGGTTGTGGGGATCTCGGGAACAGGGGCCCTGCTAGTGCCCACAGAAAAAGTTCTGGTCAGAGCGGGAGGCAGTAAAGGGGTATTGGGCTATAAGGCATGCCCCTGAGATGGGTGCAGTCTGGTCGAGGAATTGGGGAGGCTTTGTGTAGGAGGGGCGCTGGGACCCTTGAGGTTGGAGGCTCAACAACAACCCTGTCTTCTGAGCACCTTCTGTATTCCATGAACAAGACAGGAAAGGGAGCCCCACCTGTTACAGAAGGTGGACAACACAGAAGTGAACAAGCGATTACAAGTTGTACTGGCTCTGTGAAGGGCATACACAGGAAGGCATGATGGGGTCCGGACTGGGGGTCAGGGAAAGCCTGCAAGGTTTGGGCAGAGACCTGGATCAGTGGAACCTGGCCATGGAAAGATCTGGGACTGTGCATTTCGGGCAATGGGGCCAGCAGGGCTGGTTTTCGTCTTGTGGCTGTTGGGAATAGCGCTGCTGTGAACATTCGTGCACAAACTTTCATCTGAACACCTGTTTTCAGTTCTTTGGGGTTTCTACCTCGGAGTGGACTTGCTGGTTCATATATCTGGTTGTTCTGTGTTTAATTTTTTGAGGAGCTGCAGAACTGTTTCCTTAGAGGTGTTTGTTTATGTCCAGATGGGAGATGATGGTAGCATGGGTAGAAGGGACTGACGAGGGAGACCTTTCAGGACTGAGTCTCACAGGACTTGCTGATGGGGTTGGTCAGTGAAAGAGAGAAGCAAGGGTGGCTTTGGCATCTGGCTAGCTGGGGGTGCCATTTCCTGAGATGGGAAGAAACTTCTGTGTGGGGGTGGTGGTGAGTGGGAGAGGCGGACTTGAGTCCCGCTTTTGAACTGTGTTTGAGATGCCTCTGGACATCAGTGAGGGGAGACCAAGGAGGCAGTGACATGGATGAGTCTGGGCCTGGTGCAGACACGTGGGCTGAAGACAGAGATGGGGGTGGGGTAGAATTCAAAGCTATGGGACTGGCTGATTGCCATGTCCCTGCAGAGAGAACACACTGATGGCCAAGTCCTGGAGCTCAGCGTTATGTAGAGGCAAGGCAGAGGAGTGGGAGAGACTGCAACACATCTAGGGAGGTCGGAGGAAATCCATGAGTGTGTGGCATCTCTGAAGCCCAGACAAGACAGCATTTCGAGGAGAAGGAAGTGAGTGGCCAACTATATAAAAGGCTGCCATGAGGTCAAGTAAGGTGATGGCACGAGAGTGACCATTGGGATTGGAGCAGTCATGGATGGGATGGTCAAGGTCATTAGAGGCCTTTATAAGAGCACCTTAGGTGGAGTGGAGAGGACAGATGCCAGGTTGAAGTGGGCGAGATGAGCTCAGGAGGTCAGGGTGTGGTGGCCATAGACAGCTCTTAAGGTGTTTGGCCTTGCGTGGGGGACTGATAGGAGCCAGCAGTCAAGTCTGATGTTAAGACAGCCCAACCTTGTGCGTGTGCCGCCAGGATCAACTCAGCAGACAAGACACTGCCACTGCAGGAGAGAGAAGGGACAGTGGAAGCTTCCCTTGAGATGAGAAGCAGAGCACAGGTGGGGAGTGGCCTTAAATGGGAGTGGGGGATGTTGACCCATCTCCCATGTTCGTAAGAAAGTGAGGCAGAAAGTGGAGGCGCTGCAGTGGGCTTGGCAGCTCTGGCGATGAGAAGATGAGGGGCTTCTGACAGCTTCTACTTCTACCACGAAGCATGAGATGAGGTCCTGAGCTGAGAGTGAAGATGGGACGGGGGCTGACCAGTCAGAATGGGTTTAGTTAAGGTCACAGAAATGTAATACCCACTAGCTTTAAAAATGGCAGCTACTTACTGTTTGAAAAGTGTAGAGTCAGGCAGGGTCCAGGGTGGATTAGATTCAGCCTTGCCTCCAGTTAAAAGGTGATCTAATTTCTTGTCATTTTCTTCTGACAGTGATGTCAGCCTCATCCCAAGCCTGGCTTCCCCTCTGCAGGCCCGATAGATGCAGCAATTCCAGATCTCACAGCCGCACTTCTCTGCTTGCTGGAGAGAGTTGGTATCTGAAGTGTCTTCTTAGGAGCTGGAGTCAGGAGGGCTTCTACCACAGAAGCTCCCAGAAAGTGGCTGTAAAATACCATTGGCCCCAGATGGGGCATATGCCATTTTCTGAACTGGTCTCTTTGGCCCAGGGAATACCATGGGACAACTGGAAACAGCCTAGGTTACCCGAATCAATCTCTGTGGCAAGAGGAATGAGGTGATCCAGGGCCTAGCCCTGGGCTAGAAGGTGGGGTCATTCTTCCCCACCCACACCTCATTGCTGATACATAATGGGAAAGGGGTTTTGGAGAGAGAGAGCCACAGTGTCTACTACAGGGACTTTGAGGCTTTTAATGGAAAGGAAAAGCATGCCATGTTCATGGAGGATGGAGAGCAAACACAGGAACTGTGGCAGTGTCAGGAGTCTCCATGCCCATGTGGCTGTGGTCATAGACGTAAAATGGGACCAGCATAGCTGTGTGTCCTGCAAGTGTATTTGGTTGGACTTGGATACAGGTACAGTATAGGAAATCAGTTGGGTTTAGTCAGTGCTGGGCTTTTTCTAGGCAAATATGACAGAAGCAGAAAGGGGCAAGAGAGATGTTTGCAGGGAAGTGGTTACCGATGGGGTCTGGAATCTAAACTGGATGAAAAAGAAAGTGAGGACCTTTGGATCTTGTATTAGTCCATTTTCACACTGCTATAAAGAACATCCCTGAGACTGGGTAATTTGTAAAGGAAAGAGGTTTCATTGACTCACAGTTCCACATGGCTGGGGAGGCCTCAGGAAACTTACAATCATGGTGGAAGGGGAAGCAGACATCTTCTTCATGAGGTGGCAGGAGAGAGAAGA